GTGACTCGGCAGCGGTGCAATTTGCTGATGAGGAGCCGCGAAGCGTTCGCTTTCGGCAGTTCTTTTTGGACAGCATGGCGATCCCTACTCGGGTCGCCGGATGAGGATGAGGAATGCGACAGCGACCGCCGCTTTCGTTCTTTTGCTGTACTTGTTGGTCAAGATGCTGCAGCGTTCGAGCGCAGAGCGGGGGGGCATTTGGGTGAATTTTCTTCCGCTCCTTACTCGCCCAGTGCAGCACTTCTCCGAGGTTGATTTTTTCGTTGGAAGCGCAGCAGATAGCTAAGAGGTTGCAGTTTCTGGTGGGGTGAAAACTTAGCGCGGAGCGGTTGTAGAGCTGTGTTAGAGTTTGAAGCTTGAAGGTGGTGAAGGTCGAGCTGGGGGGCAGGCCCTTCCCGCATGTTTTGAGAATGGGTAAGTAAGCTACTTGGATTTCTTAGAACAGGCGCGCTGCCTGGCGGTGGTGGTTATTTGGGTAAATTTCCACTACTAAGATCCTAAGTAAGTAAGATCTTGAAACCTTCAACGCCTCGACAGGAGGCCGCGCCAGATCCTTAGAAATGTTCAGCACGCCAGTAAAAAGATCCGGATCTTAATGGCCGCCAGGACGGAGCTCCATAGACCAGGATAAGTTAGAGACCTCCTGGGGCGGCTGTTCTGCTCTAGCTTCTTGGCGTGAATAGAATAAGTAGGTAGAAAACTTTGGGCCAAGGATAGAAATGGCCGCGGTCATTTCTAGGATTTATGCTCCTGGTTCAAGTTGTTGGCTCCTCAAGAAAGTGCAAGGCTTCAAAACTTGTTTTCGTATGAAAAGGCTGACTCGGTGATGACCATCGCAGACCACTGGCTTTTCGCGCTTTCTTACTTTGTCGTGCTGCCGTTTGGCTCAAGACTTCGATCAGGATTCGTTGGAGTTGGGTGCAGTGGTGATGCGTAAAGCTCCTCGCTCGGAGTAACGTCACTAATTGTTCTTCTCCCCTTCGGTTTCCCCTGCGTTATATTTCTCAATCGAACGATGTCGGCAGGTATCGTAGGGGTGCACGCTTGACAGGCGAGCCGTGCTCACTAGTGAGCCCCGTGACGGACAGAACAAGTGGGCCGTGGAGGTGGAATACTATTGCGATGGAGAAGAGACGAAGGTGTGGATCAAGGGCGTTGATGTTTATCCAACTCCAAAGTGGAGCTATCCGCCACTCGGTGACTCGGGCGAGAGCTATCCCAGGCGTACACTTTTACTGATTCGTAGTCACTTATGAAAGCTCGTTTGTCACTTACTTCAAGGTAGTAGCATTGAAAATGAAGAAAGACCAGAGCACAACTTTCGGAACTTCATACCCACAACGCAGATTGGCACAGAGTTAAAGACGCCTGTCAATTTCTAGGCCGCCCCTTGGCGCGTCTGGAAGCACGTCTATCGTCGGCCGCGCAGATCACAGTCTCGACGCCTGCTGAATATGGTCAGCAGGGGCGCGCCTCTATTGCGGTCCTTTGTGGTCTTTTCGCTGCTCCCGTGATCGCAGTGCTGTGCCTCGTGTTTCGTGTCGCTCTGCGTCGTGCCCGGCCGACCGAAGCTGAGAAGCTCCTGCGGGTTTTAGTTATGGCAATTCCCCACTCGCTCACACGCACACGAGAGCGAAGAAAAGCAGCAAAATAGTAGATGGCGTGGCCAAGTCTGCCCACTTTTCTCACAGTTTCAAAAACTAAGCTGCTCAAAGACACATGCTTGAGGGTCGCCCATCCTCTGTTCTTTCTAATTTCGACAACAAGATCGAGGCAGAGGCGGGAGAGGAGGACGAAATCTTTTACGGTGCGGCGTGAATGGAACTAGTAGATCTTAGGGTGTAGAGGTTTGGAAGTAGGATAGGAGGAGTACTAGTAGCGACAGGAGGTCCGCATAGAAGCGATCGCCGTGATATTTCTTGTAGTAAGGGTAGACTGTGGCCACTGTTAGATGCAGAGCCGGCATAGATGAAGGGGGGCAGACTTGTGAACTCATGGCAATTCTCTATATTTCTTGTCTGGTGTAATGATGGCGCGTTATTGGACTCGGACGGCAGATCTGAGCCGACTAATCTCGTCACCAGGAGCATGATCTATCGCAGGAATATTGTATAGGAGAGCCATGGACTTTCATACTCGACGTAGCACCATGCAGCTTCTCTTCGAAGAAGACATGGTTTTGTGCTATGATGTAGGACGGACTTTCGGAACAAACTAAAGAACGACTTGGTACACCACTAACTGAATAGAAGCTTGCTGATTGAATTAGAAAACACTAAATGCACAGACATTTCATTTCTCGCACTTAACCAGGGGAAAAAAGATTATTATACCCTTTCTCATGTAAAAACCAACTTGGGTAGTCGCCATTTTCTGCCAACGGCACTAGGTCTTCTGCGCTCGAGATCGCATAGAACCGCATAGAAGTATGACCGCCTCCACAATGACGCTGATAGCAAGCAGCTGACTTTTTTGTGATATTTTTGCCTGATCTTGTAAAGAATTTGTTGTCTTACGAACTTGGCCTATTGATTAGTCTTCCTTGTGCAAAAAATAACTAATTTACTTTGGAAGTAGTTGCAACTCGTCTGCCGGCCGTCCTTCATCGAGAGACAGTGTACACTGAAGAGAGGGCACCAAAATGGAAGCGCTGAACTCCGTAGGAGCTGTAATACCCTTGATCTGGCGTATGATGATGATGAAGATGGCGCGGCAGTAGGCCTTCGCGGCAGTAGATCTTCTGTAATGAGTGTGTTCGGGGGACAGCCGTGAAATTCAAAGCAGATGGAGTCAGGCAGTGCGACACAGAGAGGGGTGCGTCACTCGGTAGTCGTCGCAACAGATGCGAGGGCTTGCTTTTGCTGTCATTCCGGAGAACGGAAATCGTATTGGGCTGTATCGTGCGGAGCTCATTGCTTACGGGTATTGTTAGGACATCTCGGCCACGGAAGATAGTTGTTCTAGATTGTTTAATTGAAAGAAGGACGCGATGGGCGCAATTCGCGCTATAACTGCCTGACCCAATCAGCACTGCCACCGAATCCTGCTGGCTGGTTGGCTGGTTGGAGTGACGATCTAGCCAACCAGCCAACCAGCCAACCGAGGCGGCCCTCCAGGCGCGGGGCTATTGAAGGAATAGGCCTGGGCACTGCTATGAAGAAAAAACCGAAGCCCGAAGAATCGAAAGACTATCTACATACGCACCTCATACGAGGAGTTGGACATGACGCGACTTTTCATTCTATGTGAGGGAATGCGCGACTTCTGCCTTTTTTTCGTAGACGAGCGAAGGCCAATGCGGGACACTTGAATTCGATGGCAACCACCGTAAAATTTTTGCTGTTGATGTGCGGCGATCATGCGTGACCTGCTGAGTGGAAGTGGGACATTTGCTGAGTAGGGCAAGAGTTGGAGGAGAGAGAGGAGGCGCGTTTAATATAGCGGATTGAGAAAAGCTCTTAATTCTACTTGATTAAGCGATAGCGAAGAAAAAAAGAAACTAGAAGAACCAGAAGACAAAGGAAATCGGCCTGATGGTGTCTTAGAAAATGCTTGCATTTGGTTTTTTGACTTGTCGAGATTCTCTGTGTTTGAAAACCTACCACAACGCCAAAAAATGTTCCACCTACTCCCCCCTCATGACATCGCGTCAGGCCTTTGTGCTGGCATTCTCTTGCCAGCCCTTGGCTTCCTTAGTGCGCATCCTATACGCAATATGCTTCGCGCAGTGTGGGTGATGGTTTTTCTGACTGTGTCTTTCAATGCCTACAAGTTTTGGGAAGCCGCTATAGAGGAAAGTGCCGAATCTGAAAGCGCTTTTAATGCCGCGACATCGTGGCGGTCAGAAGATTTCCTCCTGAATTTCGCTTTCTTTCAGTACCTGTATGGAGAAGGTGCCTTTGACGGCTATGAAAACGTGAAGCGCGCGTCGCTGATTGCAGCTTTTTTTTGTATTTGCGGTTTGGATTGGTCCTCTCTGGGTGTCACAGCACGGACACATAATTCCGCAGAAGGTAAAAAGACCTTCATAGCAGTACAGGCGAAAATCGGGACACGCTCATCCTTTTGGGTGTGGTGCACGTTCATAGTACTGACGGCGAACGTCTTGGAGGCAGCGGCGTGGTCGCTTATTTAAGGCTTGTAGCTTAGGCCCGTCTACTTGTCACGAGGCATCGTGTGAAAAATATTGTTCAGCAATGACCGAAGAACAAATGCTACCTGTACTTCGTGGTCAGGAAGGAATGAAGCACAGCGAAGTATCTTGGAGAGAGGCAAACCGAGACCAACCAGAGAGTTCTAACTAATGCAACAAGACTACATTCTGGGCACTTTCATGCTCGTTTTGGCGTTGATGACCCCGCGATTCGACGTTGCTGCACCTACGAACACTATTGTCTGTGTGGGACGCGGATCGTATGGCATAGCGTGAAGAGTTGGATACTCTCATTGCCTCGTCAAGGTCAATCATTTTCGTATTTTCGCGTGTACGCTAGCGTACTACAGTTAGAGTGTGTGCACTCAGGAGGTGATCCAAGAGTCGTAATGTTGTGTGATGATGTTTTACATCCTTCTAACCCTCATCCATGGAAAATTATCGTCGCGCGCTATGGAATAACCGGACCCACTGTGCAGTTATCGGTGCTTGGCATTTTTTAGGCTACAGATGGCGCGTCCGCGGTCGCTGTCTTGTGGCACCGATGTCATGCCTTCTGCCGCTTGTGGTTGGGGAAGTCGTGCATGCAATATACCGTAAGCGTGTACCAGAGGAAGATGGTGAAGAGGATGACAACCTGTCAGAAAGCTACAACAAACAAGAAGGGCAAGGGGAGCCTAATACAGCTACAATCATGAGAGGTAAAAATCCGAATGCGTTGGACAAGAATGGGTCTAAGACCTTGTCAGCCGGTGTTAAGACGCCGAATGCTAGTCGAGGAAAGGACAAATTGAAGTTGAAGAATGAGCATGGCAGCACTACTGCAGGACAGAGAACAGGAAGTACAACAAACTACACAACTATCCTGCCACCAGCACCCTTGCACCCTGCTCACGTTTGGACAACCTTGCGTGTGTTCGCGTTGATTTGGTTTGGAATCTACGACACTTTCTTCAGTCATGGCCTAGATTACATCGTGCAAAAAATTGCAGATCCAGATGGCAGTCTGCTGCCACTCTACGACGTGTCCACGCGCAATGGAATAGCTGCTGTGTGGATGGTTAAGGCAAGAATTGTAACTAATACTAGCTCTCCGCAAGAATCAATTGATCAGGGACAGGGAGCACTTCTAAATCCACAGTAATAGCTGTTATTTGATGCTAAATAAAAGTCACCTGGACGCTGACAAGATGTGGGCAAGGGCAAGGGCAATCTGATACAAGGAAGGTCACGGCTCTAACACCACGTTTTGCAGTCTGGTTTGGGCGATGAATGGACCACTTGACTTCCCTACCTTCTGGGGCAAAGAAGTCGAAAAAATAGAATAGCGACGAGAGACCCAAAAATATGAGTGTGATGAAGCTTCCTTGAACTTGAAAAATTTTGCAGACGTATTTTGCAGATGCATTCGTTGCCTTTTGCTAAAAATTTTCCGATGTCGATTACATTACATTACAAGTTTTTCGATGAAAGTTTCCAATGTCGATGTTCTGGACAATCAAGAAGAAGAGTCAGAATCTCAATTGATGCACAGATCATGAAGCTTCTAGGACGAGGCTGTCATTCTAGCTAGATGGTACGTACTACTTGCGACAGCACGAAATGGATAATAGTACGTAGTACTGGCGACAGCACCAAGACTAAGGTTCTTCGTGTTCTTCATGTTCTTCGTGTTCTTCATCATCCATGATATATTCAAGAAGAGTAGCTCTCTACGATCTCCTCAAGTCGGACGTGGATCTCCTCAGAGGATCACCCCTGTTCCTCTCACTGTTCCTCTCAGTCTTGAAAACTTGGATCCAGTGTTGAAACACAGGCTGCTGAAGAAAAGTCCTAAGAAAGTCCTAAATTACACTTCAGAACAGGCTCTTGGTGATTGCAAATTTTCCTTGTGCTCCTAGTGATCCGGACTCTATGTGCCGAAGTGGAAGTGTCCCTTCAAATTTTCCTTGTGCTCCTAGTGATCCGTACTCTATGCGCCGAAGTGGAAGTGTCCCTTGCACACTAAGGTACAATTGAATCCTACTATTCCTGCACTCCAGTTCAGAACCCCGATTCAAAATTATGCCTATGCCTCATTCACCATCTATTTCACAGGCGGCCTTGGTCGTGGGCTGAAGAGTTCTTATACACAGTTTCATTTTCTAATTTACATGAGAAGTGATTACTGGTAGAGGCAAGCCTGACTATCTACGAAAAAGGAACCAGAGTCATGAGGCATTTATTCGTGCTGTTCACGTGTGGGGCAGAGTAAGGCTATAGATACCCGTTCCTTCAAAGGGCTAGACCTCCAGGTGGTTGGGTCATACAGCGATATATTGAAGGCGACCACGACGCAACCAAGGACCTTCTGGGTGACTACTTACACTGGAGACGACACGAAACCAGTTTTTTTTCTGCGAAGCGAACAAAATATTTCAAGAAACGGTGCCTCACGACATCAACCTCCTTGTGCCGTATTGAAGGGTCACTACAGCGTCTACTCGCAAGGATAACTACAGTAAGGATGGTGTCCGTACGTGCAGCGACGATCCACGATCTGATGGGGATGCAGGCATGCAACCTGTTCTGTCTGCCAGAAAACTATCATTAAGGGTAGGTTAAAGGTGCTTTTATTACCGCTTTTTATGCCTCTCTCCCTTAGGAAGAGAAAGGCATAACAAGCGGGGTAAGCGAGCACCAAAAGCCTACCTCTAATATCAGATGAAGTACTACCTGCTGCACATGCTCAGTTGGCCGTCATTACTCTATGTGGCAGAGGAAATGTGCTCCAAAAAGATCGTTGGATACGTGTTGGCGAAGATTGATGAAGATTCAGAGGGGGTACTTACACATTTTTGAGGGAGGATGCTGTGTTTGGATAAGGATGCTAGTCTTTAATGCTCCTGAAGCACAACTTCTAGTACGAGTGGATCGATTATGAGAGGCAGCTTTCTTTTCATCCTACACTAAATGATGAGTCAATTGCGAAATTCTTACCTACTTTATCTGAAAGTAGGTGAAGAATAAAAGCTTTGGAGACCTTCTGATAGCCTGGGATGGAGCCTATGGCGTGAAAAAAGATTGAGTCAATTTACAAAACTACATTACAACTACTTGGGTAAATGAATGAATGAATGAATGAATGAATGAATGGGATGCCAATCAATCAATACTCAGCGCGATGCCATTGTTCACGACATCAAGAGCCCCACTTCAAGCCTTTAAAACCTTCCTACAACTTGGGATGCCAATCAATCAATACTCAACGCGACGCCATTCACGGCATCAAGAGCCCCACCAACCCTTCAAGCCTTTAAAACCTTCCTACAACTTGGGATGCCAATCAGTCAATACTCAACGCGACGCCATTAATCAATCAATACTCAACGCGACGCCATTCACGACATCAAGAGCCCCACCAACCCTTCAAGCCTTTAAAACCTTCCTACAACTTGGGATGCCAATCAGTCAATACTCAACGCGACGCCATTAATCAATCAATACTCAACGCGACGCCATTCACGACATCAAGAGTCCCACCAACCCTTCAAGCCTTTAAAACCTTCCTACAACTTGGGATGCCAATCAGTCAATACTCAACGCGACGCCATTCACGACATCAAGAGCCCCACCAACCCTTACTCAGCGCGACGCCATTCACGACATCAAGAGTCCCAGTTCAAGCCTTTAAAACCTTCCCTCCACATCGATTGCCCAAGAGCCCCACCAACCCTTCAAGCCTTTAAAACCTTCCCTCCACATCGATTCCGCAAGAGCCCCACCAACCCTTCAAGCCTTTAAAACCTTCCCTCCACATCGATTCCGCAAGAGCCCCACCAACCCTTCAAGCCTTTAAAACCTTCCCTCCACATCGATTCCGCAAGAGCCCCACCAACCCTTCAAGCCTTTAAAACCTTCCCTCCACATCGATTCCGCAAGAGCCCCACCAACCCTTCAAGCCTTTAAAACCTTCCCTCCACATTGATTCCTCAAGAGCCCCACCAACCCTTCAAGCCTTTAAAACCTTCCCTCCACATCGATTCCGCAAGAGCCCCACCAACCCTTCAAGCCTTTAAAACCTTCCCTCCACATCGATTCCGCAAGAGCCCCACCAACCCTTCAAGCCTTTAAAACCTTCCCTCCACATCGATTCCGCAAGAGCCCCACCAACCCTTCAAGCCTTTAAAACCTTCCCTCCACATCGATTCCGCAAGAGCCCCACCAACCCTTCAAGCCTTTAAAACCTTCCCTCCACATCGATTCCGCAAGAGCCCCACCAACCCTTCAAGCCTTTAAAACCTTCCCTCCACATCGATTTTCCACAGATCCACGGCCACATAACGTCATTATCGGTTTTGCGGTCATATAGGAAACTAGGCTTGGCGACGAAGTTGATGCGGAATACACTGGAAGCGATGAGGGAGGTCTACGATGCGGAATTTGTGTCGTTGCACGTGCGAGTTTCAAACAGAGCAGCATTTACCCTCTATAGGCATGTTCTTGGGTACTAAGAAATTATTCCCCTGAAGATCATGTGGCTTATGCATGTCGCTTATGCTTATCATAAGGTTGGTATTCGTATCCCTGATCTGAGTTGAATACTGATTTGAGTTGATACTGTTATGTACTGGTGACTTGTTTGAATTTACTACAATGTACTATTGTTATGCCTACTACGAGTGCTTCTACTTACCTCCCTCACTCACTCCCTCACTGCCTCAAACAGCTTCGAAATCCACGATGTGGAGAAGGGTTATTACGCGGATAAGGAAGACGCCTACGATATGAGGAAAGAATTGAAAGCTAATTCGCAAGTTAACAAAAAGAAGAAGCAAACCGACGATAACGAAGCGGCAGCAAACGCGTTAGAGGACTTGAAGTACTAACAATTGTTCTAGAGGTTTTAGTTATGGAGTTGGAATTATTTTCTTTTGAGGCTTCTTCTTCTTGGGGGAACAAATTGGACTGTGCGCAAACAATCCAGCCAGTCACATCCCCAATCAATGTTTCCTCGCCTTGTCCTACGCTCTTCTACCTCATGAATGGTCACGAGCCCATCAATCGCCCCTCTACCTCATGAATGAGCCCATCAATATCAATCACTTCCTCAACCTCGTGTTCTCAGGGAAACGAATTTCACAGACGGTGCGAAAAAAGCCGCGGAAGCAGAGGAAGATGCAGAGGATGGCCCGGAAACTATGGCCGAAGATAATTTAGAAAAAGTGGAGGCCACCGCAGGCGCCAGTCCAGAAGCCAACAGTGCCGGCAACGGAGCCGGTAAGAAAACAAAGAAGAAGAAGTAGATCATGTCCAGAAGCCAACAGTGCTGGTAAGAAAAAAAAGAAGAAGAAGAAGTAGATCATGATGATGACGATGGCGATTCATATGATTTATACTTTGCCTTGATGGATTCAAACGCAAGCATTGGACGACTAGTTTCAATGAAGATTCGCCCACGATCATTTACTTACACATCAAACGAAAATATAGCGACTGCTTACTCAAGACATTGCAAGAACTGTGTGAAGGCAGACTACTCTTCATGACCTAAAGGACGGGGTCTACAGTTTCAGATACGATCAAGTTTCATGAGGAGATCAACTCAGTACTACCCGCGCAACCCCTTCAATACTCGCATTACCCGGATCAGTAAGTTAGATTTCCCACGGGGAGGTTGTACGCCAATGCTGTTGGTGAATGCTTCTCAGCCTCAGTTCTTGAGAGGGTTCGTTTTTCTGGAATGTGTTCACCGAGGAAGTTCTTTCGAGGCTTGTTCAAGAGCGTCGGCACTAGAAAAAATCACTGGCGACAGTCCAATTACCATGAAGTTGTTGAGCTTGAGGGAAGAGTCTCGAACAAGGTGGTGGTTTTTGCAGTTACTCCGGAGACAACATAAAAATGCTCTGCCTCGTCGGTTCTGACGCTGCTGGGGATGCCTTGCGGAGGGAAGTTCTCACCGGCGTTAAATGCGAAGGTGTCACATTTGTCGACTGCAATGATGAAGCGGGAGGTGCAACTGATGAGGCGGCTTACAGTGGGTACACGACAAAATTCTTAGAGATGCAGAAGGAGAACCCGAAAGCCCTAGGGATATTCGCTTGCAAGACCGGTCTGGACTCCTCATGCTGGATGAATATGAAGGTAGATTTTTGATTTCTCATGCTGGATGAATATGAAGCAGGTACACATTTTTTATCTTCGGTGCAGGATGAAGATGATATGCTGCCAGTAAATAGGACTAACTTCTTAAAATGGTGCTTCCGTAGATCTCACCAGCTTCACTTGAAGAAACCCAGGTAGATGTTGCTAGTTTCTCTTGAGATTTATGTCGGGAAGCTCTCAGGTTCCTTCTCTGCGTGCGGCGAAATGCCATGATGACTACACAACGAAATTCTGCCGATTGCACAACGACGCACACATTCTGTGCCTAGGCCAGAATACGATCGGGCCAGAAGTTACGGCGATGAAGTTGAAGACAGTGCTACTTTTTACAACCTCGTATCATAAAAAGTGAGACGAGTTGGTTCAAATTAGTTCTCAATACACCCACACCGCTACTCCTCTGGTAGTACTAGAGTACCCCTTTATAATAAGTACTTCATATAGCATCTAGCATCACTGCAATAGAAGTACAACGGCGTTGTTGCTCTTCTAACAATCTGGCGAAGGAGATGGTGAAACGTTTTGTCACGACAGAATTTGAAGGCGATAGGCATGTACAGAGACTGCAGAAAGTGCATGGGCTGTGCGGAGCAGAGAACAAGTAGTAGTCACATTTCATCTTATCGAGTTTGACTTACTTCCAGAACTGTCTATGTGTTGTCACAACTGGTAGTTCTGTCAAGGAGGTGGCTTCTGAATGGGAACGGCACCCAATTCACAAGGTTGTAGACGACGAGTACATTTTTCGCAGACGAAAATCCACGTTGGCCCTTTTTAACCGCATGGTCCGAATCTTCTTCACGATAAGACGCAAAACGCGGAAGTATCAGACGGCTTCATGGGTGCTTGAGCAAGGTTATTCCGAAGATGATTAGCGCAAGGCGCGAAGGGCTAACTATGAGCGGAAGCAGTTGCGGGGACCCCACGCGGATGGAATTTGACTTGCGCATGATGTGCGGTGAAGGCACAGTGTAGACACGCTACAACAGGAACATTCTATGACCTTCTAAGGAGGTCGAGCAAGAAGACGTGTTAGTTCCTAGAAGCAACAAAATAAGGATGACAGGCAAAAATCTAAGCTGCAGCATTTACACTTACCACATTTGACCACCTGACAGGCATGACGGTTTTATGTGCTAGTGTGGCTCGTTCCTGATAGGCTCTTGTGGACCCGCATCATTAGGGTGTTGCGGACCCGCATTAGTAAGTAAATGGAACCACATCACTTTCGTCCTGGCGGAGAAATCCTTGAGCCGTGGTGCGTATCTACACCCAGAGGAATACAGTTTCGTCGTGATCACAGCACTCATCCGAAGGTGTCACTTCTTGGAAACGAGAGTTGTGTTGAGAGCCAGTCTCTAGTTTCAGGTCAGATCAGATCATCGTCTGAGCAACGTTCTTCTCGGTTCCGGATGATGCGCTTTCAAGGTTATACGCTCCTCAGTTCACAAAAGTGGCTCAGGACATGGTTCTGAACTCGAAAAAAATGCACTGCGTATAATTTCGGTTTATCCTTGAATTTGGTCTGCTCTCAGAAGAACAAGATGGATCGTACTTTTTCTACCCTTCCGACCATCGACTACTACTACAGGCCGTGTTGCTAAACGAAGAAGCAAGACGAGGGACGAAGGCGACCTCTATTTAAAACAGTAGAACAAGATACATTAGTGGTGATGTCGAAATCAGTGTAGTCTTTTAAGAACTGGCGCTGTCATCTCCTATAACGAATTGGAGTTTAGATTTAATAAGCGATTACAAGCATCGCTTTATCAGCTTGGTTTCAAGCAGTAAAAATGCTCTTTTCGCTGTTCCAACTCCAGTGATTCTCTATTTCTAATACCACGTTTCCTTAACACAACAAACTACAAGAATCATCAAAATGTCTTCGTCCGGCGACAAGAACAAGTCTGGTGCCCCCGTCAAGCCTTGCCTCGACATGAGGGGTCTACGTGGGCAGAACAATATGGGCAGGCATGAGAGGAGCAATATGAACGTTGTGATGACGTCTTTTCAAGAACGCAAGTACGGGGTCGATGGCAAGGGCGGCAAAGATGAAGGAGGAAGTAGGGCGAAGGGCGAACGGGTGAAACCTTACTGGAGAATACTGGAGGAAAAAGCGGAACGGGAGAAAGAGCAAGAAGCCAGATTTGCGAAACGAAGACGGCTGGAGCAAGAGGAAAAGCAACAAGACTACTTGGATTTGGTCAAAAATGATTTAAGGCTCTAGCTACGCTGGTTGATGTATAGTGGAAAAAGAGCCTCTTCTTCGCTGGAATCGACGTGCTATAATGTGGTAGCGTGCATCATTCTCAACCATCCAGGTTCCTTCTAGAACATTTAATCAAGAAGTTCCATAGTGGCATATTTCTCAACTAGAGAAGTCTCTGCTCTTCCACTTCTAATCACCACCGCAGACGAAGGTGCAGCGGAAAGAGCAGAGAAGAAGAGGAACCCCTTTTCGAAATTCAACTTCTCGAAGCCTGGCTGTCCTGGAACTGGGTGGCAGGTATTTTTAATTTTGGGGGGAAGAGGGTGGAAGGCATCTCTGAGGCTGCCTCCGGAGTGGGCGGCAGGTATTTTCTTGGGATGAGTAGTGGCTGGCACGGAAGTGACTCCTAGCAGGATCCAGCCTCTGGCGCCCGCGTGTTCGGTCTCCGCCTCGGCGCCGTCCTCTCTAGCGTGTCCACTCGCGCAGTCTCTGTCGCCTCTCACCTGCTCCGGTGCCCAGTTTGGTGCCGGTGGTGATGGCGCACCGCGGGCGGCCATTTGCGGCCTGCTCCGGTTTCTCGACACTCTAGCAAGGGAGGAGCGAAGGCGCTGCCATTTGCTGACGGTGGTGCGGCAAACGACGAGGAGCCGCGCCGCCGCGGCTGGCGGACCGTGGTGCCGCGAGCAGAGTCGTCCGGCGCACCTGATGGCGGGCGGCGGACTAAGCAGGGCGCGGGGGAGCCCATCAGCGGCCACCGCTGGCCCAGTGCTTTCGCCGGTCGTGCTCTAGTCTTTTCGGCCAAGTTTTTAGCTGATGAAACCGCGCAGCTCGTGGGGCTGTGTTCGCGAAACGCAGGGAGCAGGAGCGCGGGCTGCTTCTCAGATCAAAAGCGCGCCGCGGTAGGGTCGGGCTTCTGACACGGTGGCAGCCTCTTCGCATGGGGCTGAGACATTCGCTGCCCGGGGGGTGGGCGTGTCGAGGTAGCCCACGCGCATGCGGTGAAGGTCGAAAGCTGGGGGAACGATCTGGGGGGCGTCTATCTGTTCATGAAGACGGGGGGCGCTTATGTCTTCAACCGGGAGGCGCCTGGATGTACGAGCGTCCGCGCGAGCCATCAGTTGCTCGAACCGCTGAGGGGTCTGAAGCAATGCGGGGGAGGCGGTGGCCTGTTATCTGCACCCTGCCAGGCGGAGGAGGGCCCACGGGTGCAGCCCTCACGGGTGGCCATGCGTGTCCACGGCGTCCCGTCTTACCCCGCACGAAGTGCGGCGCCTGCGTTGGTGTCGAAAGGCGACCCGCGCGCGCCGGCACGCCGGTCCAGCGCAGAAGCTAAGGCGCCGCCAGGTCCTGCGCTTGAACAGCTATCGTGCATTTCATCACACAACCATCTTGCCATAAACCACCAACTTCTTCGGAGACAGCGAAAAATTTGTTCTCTGTAAGTAGGAGGTCGTGTATAAGATGAATCAGATAAAAAAGAGTAAAAAAGAAAATGTTTTGGCCTATAGTTAGAAATAGTAGCTTGGTAATGGATTTGTGAATTAATAATTGGAGTGTTATCTATGTTGTTGAGTTTAATGTTGTATCATGTATGTATTTGCCATATGGTGCTTCATAGCAAACGGACCGATATACTTGCTTGGATAAATTAAATTATAATACATAGCCAAAAAAAATTTTAATGAATGTGTAAGGTATTCAAAATCGTGCATAAATCAATTTACAAGTATGAATGTTGTTTAAGGTTCTGCATGCGTCATCAGTAGATATATGTAGTGTTGTTATGTTTGACTTCAGATAGAATAAAAGCTTATTGCACAAATATGATAATCCAGCTAAATATGATGTTAATCTTCCCCTTCTTGCTCCGGGTCCCACTCCCTTACACGTTTGTTGATTCGGTTACGAAACTCCACGAAGTGGCACACTTTGTCGAGGCTGATGAGGTTGAACGGGCATCGTATTTTTCGTACCGGCATGTTAGTGGCGAAGTCCCTGGCAGCAATGTCGACCGTGCTTGTTTTGACCTTGATTCTGGCGGGTGTCGACGTGCTTCTTTGCGAGTCGATCAAATGCTGCAGTTCGGTCATACTATCGCTGGCCGGCCGCATGATGAATCTGCATACATTTCGCTTTAGTCTTTTCTCAGCGTCCCATAGTTCGCAAAAAGCTGGCGACTCTCTGATAAGACTCAGTCGAAGTCCTATCACATCGATGACGCTGCTGTGCCCAACATTTTGTATCGGATCGACGACATGCCGCACAAGTGGTTGACTCAGAATTGCTACTACTGCTGCAGCGAATTTTTCACATTCGTTTTTTTCCACAGTGGTACTTATTCGAGTGTCACCGTCGTCAACATAAGCTTCGATGAGTACACATCCCGATGATGTTTGCCATAGTTCCGCGCCTTTCGTCGTCTGGCTGATTACATACTTGGAAAAATTGAACGAGTCGCCGGGGGCGAGAGAGTGCATCTGAGGTTGACTGATGCCGGATGCGAGCAGGAATGAACGACCTAAATCAGCTCCCATGAAAACACGAGTTCTTATCAGGTTTCGCGAAAGAAAGTCGTCATTTGTTGGCGCGTCAGATTGTGGCTCGACATTACTGCACGCTTTTTCGCTGAACAATTTTCGGAGCGCATGATCACCGTCTTTGATTTCGTTTAAGGCTAGAACGTCGTCTTCTTGCAGATGCCGCATGCTTAGTTTGGGCATGAGTGTTATCAGATTAGCGAGATCGACCGACGCAGTAGATGCCATCCACTTGCATGCCGCTGTTCTACAGCATTTCACCGCTAAGAGGATGGGTTCGACTAGGTTGATCATTGCTGACGAAAAGACCAATAGATACGCATCACGCTTGTGGATTTTATTTGCTCGAAGCAAGATGGTAACGTTTTCGGGGAGAATCCCAATCGTGTCGAGGATGGCATCGGCCAACTCTTTGTGAAATCGTTCCCAGACTCTCAGTTCCCACACAAGTGCCGCTGCCGTGATTAGATCGATGATGGGTTGGATGAATGCCCATAAAATCAGATGCCGCATCATGGAGCCGTTAGTGTTGCCCCCGCGTCGCTGCAGTACACGCACTACTTTGACGTGTGCCCATCGCAGTCGTTTGAATATCATCGCCCATAAACAGTCTGCTAGATCTTTTGTAGCAGAAACCGGATAACCCAAAATAGTGGCCTCATCAGCGATTTTGATTTGGTAGTTGAAGGGAGTTAGAAGTTTGAGAATGATGCTGGCGGTCTTCTCCTTCATGGTATTCCTCTGCTTGTGCGTCATGTTGATGGCTGCACTTATCGTGTCACTACCCATGTCATTGCTATTCCTGTTCGTGGCTTTTTGATAGATCACGCATTCAAGCTTCTGTGCCGCTATGAACTGCCTGTTACTGGTGAACATGTGCTCCACAAGATGTTTCAAAGCTCGACAGATGATCTCAAAAGTTCCGCATTCCACATCCCGTAGGCGGTATCGAAAGGATATCGATTGGTCATCGACGAACGCCACAACAACAGAGCCGACGTAAACGACGTACCTAACCTTTTGGTTGCCAGTGACGAATGGTCTCGCATGTGCACTATTGCTATCGTCATGGGTGGATGGCTTCGGAGGTCCAATCAATAGTTGTCCGTAGGCTCTCTCGTGAGCACCTTTGATGTACTCGTCCCATACGTCGTCCCACGCAGTGTAACTCTGCCATTTGTCGACGTCGAATTCCTTTTGACTCTGCATTTCTTGCATAGCTTCAGTGCAGATTCTTTGGACCTCATCGAATGCCAATAGGGCCGACCCATCGCTATTGTAGCACCGGCGCAAAAAATTCCGCACTCTTTTTAGAGACTCGGATATGAGCACCATCCCCGTAACCATCACGTCCACACTGCCCTGCACTGCTTCTGGATGATTTCCTAGGTCGATGAAAAACCGTCCATTCCGTAGGTAGAGTTGCTTGCTAAGATTGCTCTTATGAAAAAAGTAAAGTGCTGTTGGATGTATTTTGCACCTTGCCAGCTGTGTCGTAACGTCGCGTTCTAAGATGTTGTTGAAGTAATTGGTGATGTCAGTTTCCAGTAGGAACCAGTATTCGTCCATGTCTAAACTCAGGATCTGCTGTGCCCACAAGACCCATCCTATGAGACGTCCGACACCGGGGCGACCACCTAACGTTACATTATCTAGTAGACCAGCTTCTTGTGCACCAGCAATCGCGACGCCGCCCATAACACCGGCCACCACTCGGTACGACGGTGCGCCTTTGATGATAGTGCGCACTTTTTTGATGTCATGAATTGCGCTGGATTTCCGTAGGAGTTCGACGAGTTGACGGAGCCATATTTTTTGCAGAACCGCACCGCATGACTTCATTGGTTCACGTTCTAACTGGCTCAAATCGGAGTTGATCGCAATAAGAAACGCCCTGCGCAGATTCTTATCAAGAGCCTGGAAGACCTTCATGCGTACACCTACAACACCCCGCAACTCCGGATTGCTTCGCTGAAGTTGAGCTACTAGTTGCTCGTCAGTGATCCTAAACGGTACGCAGAAGTTCTGAGCTAGGCGAATGTCATCTTTCATCTTGCCGTACTCCATAGAGCTTAGGCATGATTTCAATCCCACAGCCTTTCGGATGATCTTGTTCTTGACAATACGGTTTTTTTTTTTTATGGCGGGCGGTATACTAATAGGAAATTAGTACGACCCACGTATTTTCCAGGATGCTGCCCGGCGATGGTGGGAGCGCATGGCGGGCGGTATATTAAAAAATTAGTATGACCCACATATTTTCCAGGATGAAAGATCGACGCACGACCAGCAGCGGTGACAGAGGAATGGAAACCAAATGGAGTACAACTACAATCTTTTTCCTGCAGCATGGACATGGACTCGAAGCTCAGTCGCACGGACGCGGGCCAGCGTGGACCACAGCGGTTCGCGAGATATGCAAGATAGAAGCAATCCCCAGTAGTTTTACGTCATGAATATCAATGGAATTATGAAGGTGTGAAAACAGACCACGACAAAGGCCGTCGAGTAGAAGATATTATGCACTGTGCATTTTCCCGCCGTCATGGACTCAAAGGGTATTTGAAACGAAACAAAAAACACCCGAACCACCTGTACACCAACTAGCGCTACGTCAGACACGTGATTGCCCGAATACAAGATAACAACTCGTCCCACCTACGATAATTTTCCTAGTACCTCTTTATCCTTCCATCGTTCCATCTCCTCGTCTTAGAAACTAGTACATCATGTGAAAGTACTGCGCCAATATATCATCGATTGCAAAGAACATTTAGTAGATCCAGCATGGCGACCAGGAGTAAATTGCCTATAAAAATTATGTTAATGGCATTTTCGAACAAATGCTGGATTGTATAAAGAAATAGGAAGATGATACAAGTATCTTCTATGTGTAATATTCGTTCAACATCGGAAGTTCCATCAAGTCAAGAAGTTGAGGCATCTGTGCAACGGATCATTCAAGAGAACAAAGATAATGTGGCTTCACTACTTCATAAGTAATTTCAAATTCAATCAACATGCTTATCTATCTAATCTTCAATGATATTAATGTAAAAATTTTTTTAGAAACTACTACAACCGAGAGACTTGTCGGAAGTAAGTTCTTGGATGAGGCACCTAGCACAAATAAGACTTCTTAGTCTTACAATGAAAAGAAAACTATGCTGCAAAATTTTAGACTATAAAATGAGGATCTTCATGATACTCATCTTCACAACTGTCGTTTTTGCATGAAAGATCCGGAGAGCTGCGGTTGCACGTGACGACACGACAAGCTGTGCCCCCTCCATCAGTAAATCAGGAGCCGTACTACCACGATTCTGTTGAAATCAACAAGAGCTTTACTACATTCGTACTCCCGTCGCATTGGAGCACCATCTATCCGCTACTACATTCGAACTCCCGTCGCATAGCAGCACCATCTATCCGCTCCAGCACCTTCATCAAGTCAGTGGTGACACAACTCCAAGTGACTCTGGGGTTTAGGCAGAAGCAGAAGATATACATAGTCCTCTTAGTTACTGTTCTCCTCGTACAGTCTGCAGTCTGAAAAATCTCCTTTCCACGACATTGACTAGGGTCCTCGTAGCAGCCAGCAGCGTGCACAGGAGCAAGCAAAGCGGCAGAAAGATTCCGAAGAGTGCCCTTGTACTTCGCTTTCCCGGAGTGTGGACATGTCTAACGTCTGCTGGCTGTGCCGAGTCCCAACCGATCACCGCATGGCGGTTCACGTAGTACACACGCAGTAAATTCTCGTCACTCTTTACCTCAGACTCAGCGTCCAGCTGTTTTAGAGCTTACTACTTACTACAACTGAGAACGGGACGAGGGGAGTGTAGTTGAGGAACAAGAAAGTCCCGTTTTCTCATCAAAACTAAGAGAAGACAGTGTTGGGGAACAAGAACAAGATGGATTTTCTCAAGCCTTAATTGTTGCACACCTCTCAGCTGTACACTGGGCTTTCGAGGCGCTGGGTTAAACTTCAGTCCCGACCCATTATGCTCCTTGATAAACTTGTCATCCTCCTCACTGCCTCGTTTGATGTTACCTAGGGCATAGAAGATAAAGATTACTATTATGGAGATGCGAACGTTTGATTTACTTTCCACATGTAAATTATATGGAACTTTGACAGAGAAACGTGATCGTGATTAACAGCAGTCATGACTGTCGTGTAGCTGCTAGCTGCAGTAATTTGTAGCTACTTATATTATTAGAACTCACTACAATCCATCTTTTCGCTCATCTCAGGCCATTTTCCTATTTGAAAACAGCTTACAGATGAACTGAAAGATGGATTACGTGAGGCCTTACTTATACTTCTTCCAGGAGCACCTCAAGTAGGATCGGAAGATTTACTACTTATACTTCTTCCAGCGCCTCAAGTAGGATCGGAAGATTTACTAAGGGGGTCCATCCGATCGATCCAAGTCCATCCTACTTTCTTCCATCCGATCGATCCAAGTCATCCTACTTTCTTCCATCCGATCGATCCAAGTCATCCTACTTTCTTCCATCCGATCGATCCAAGTCCCTCCTAATTCCGTTCTCTAATATATTCTATTCTACTTCTTTTAGCAGCTTATAAATATATTTATTAAATACCTCTGAATCTGCGCACAAATTCCGGGAAGTCAGGACCGATGGCATGCCTGTTTTCGTCTTTCTCGAATTTGAGACCGGGAAATCGATTGGCATCCCCTTCTTCTCGATCGATTCTCGGAAACAACACGCATCGGCGGGTGCGATATTCACGCTTGGAGGTACGAGAGGAGAGGTCGTTTGTTTTAGAGGAGGTTGTAAGAACTAGCAAGCACGTGTTAATATGGAATGAAGATCATGCTTAATTTTACTTGTTTTTACTCTTGTTTCAACAAGAACATAATTGATAAGATCATAGTTATAGTTCGTTGCAAAAAAATAAAACAAATCTTCACTGAAAATGCGATCCACACTTCTTCATAATATAATTTTGCGTTTCAGTCATTTTCTGGCCCAGTGCAACCCAGTGGCAGTGGAACGGACTCTGCTGCCCTTCGTCGGCTGTCAACAGCCACGTTGCTTTGCAATACTCCTGACACATCCAGTTGAAATCACTGTCATTCAGGAGACTCACATCAGGTCTTGAAAGCCTGTTGACAACAACAGGACGAGGTGGAGAAGCTGTAGAGCTAGATGAAGATGAAACTTCAACAGGAAGAGGTGTAGCTTTACATTTAATTTCCATGCCCAACTGATATCGAACGTCCGCAGTGTCCACTTTCACCAAGCTGAGGGTACACGATTCGTGCTTGTACAAGATTGCGAACATCTGCCTGAGCTCATCCAACGTAGAGCCCTTCAATGTCTTTTTGACAAAATGATGCATTTTTTCCTGATACTCGCCAATCCGATTTTCCACCATGATCAAGTTCGCCTTCATATCTTCAAGCAGACTGAAGTCCTCCGCTTTCTTCTTGGCACGATGAGCTGCAGCTGGATCAGCCTTGCCTGACGCGGCCTTCTCTGATTTCTTTCCTGATGTTGCGGGAGTCGACGGTGATCCCTCTGGACGAGACCCTGAAGGCGCTGGCGTCGTTGGCGACCCTGACGTCGCAGGTGACGCTGGAGACGAATTTTCCGCGGCAGAGGATGAGGAAGCCGCAACAAGAGCCGTGGTATTGTCCGTAGATGAACTTGAACCTCCCGTATTCAACATATTCAGGTTGTCCGTAGAAGCAGACCTTGCTTGTTCGGGAGAATCTTTTTCCTCTTCACCGAGTCCAGTTAGTCCTAGACTTTTTTCGATGTAGGCTTCAAAGCGTGGAGCCAGCAGGCGTTGAAGGAACTCGGGTGTCTGGAGCTTCTTTATCTTGGCCTCTGCGTCTCTCTTTATTTTAGCCTCTGCTTCTGTCTTTATTTTATCGGATTCCTCGGACGCAGCTTCACTGCTATCTTTAAGCGCCTCGAGTGCTTTCCTGAGTGCTTCACGGCTATCTTCACGGCTTTTTTCAAGAGCCTCTGCCGCTTTCCTGAGTCCTTGGTAGAGCCATGTAACGTATATGCTTCGTTCGCCGTCTCTATCAGCCACGCCCGCGTCGGAGTGCGCGAATATTAGAACTGTCGGCAATTCATCTTTCAAGTGCATCCTTGAAAAGTATGGGGGAGTTGTATTCCCTTAGGATAAGTACTCCTCCATACGTATAATATTCAAGAATTATCCTGCATTAGGTACAACAGCCTTAAGTAGAACAGTGCTGCAGCCAAGCGCTTAATCAAGGCTGGCGACATCCCAAACGTTGCCGTCAGAAGAAGCTGCTGCAGATCAGGCTCCGCTTGAATAAGGTCACGTAGTCCAAGAACTGAAGGATGAAAAATGCGGCGCTGCTGGGTAGGTGCAAGCTGTCCAAGAACTGAAGGATGAGAAATGTAAGCGCTGAGACATTCCTCAAGCCACTTGTAGCCGTCTCCAGCGCTAGAAAGGGGCAGGGACACGCGCCACGAGAGCCTTTGGATGAGTGCGCCGTTGTATTCTTCAGTTCTTTCAGCAACTTTTTGGAAGCTGAAATGCCCTGGCTTCAAACTGTAATAGTATTTGCTGCTGGAGGAGGTGAGGCCATCTTCGTCTTTCTTTCCTTCATCAGGATCTTCGTCTTCTTCCTTTAATATGGATGCAGCACCTCTGATCGCCCCAAAGCTGAACGAAGGCATGCTGTCGTATGTCGCATCTAAATACTGTAAGCGGTCCTTTGCGCTTGTCCACAATATTTTTCTCTGCTCCTGAGCTTGAGCTTGTTGAGGGGGTCCTTGTGGTTGTACGACTACTCCTCGCCCTGCATTAATAGCTTGAGCTTGTTGAGGCGCTTGTGGTTGTACGACTACTCGCCCTGCATTAGCATTAGTATCAGAAGAACTAGAAGAACCCTTCATCAGAGTCTCAGCAACCTCGTTAAAAGCTTTCGTGCGTTCGACTTCTCTTTGCCCTGGCTCATAGAACCATACGGCAGCGCCATAGATCTCGGCATCGCTGGGTTTGTCCGGTTGTCGTAACAAGGATTAAAGCCAGGAATCAATCTGAATCTGTAGCCCGAGGAGTGATCTGAATCATTCACAACCCACGAACAGGAAGATCATCTTTCTAACATATCAGCTACGCCAGATAGTGAAGAAAGTGATCAGCGGAGTTAGGTTAGGTTGTGGATCCTGCACATCGAGCACCCCCGGGACCTACTCGACTCCGAAGAGTGATGAATGTACGTACTATAGCCTTAATGTAACCACTTCAGTGCGCTGTCAAGAGCCGGATATGTGCCGTGCATAATCGTATAGCTCGTGCGCTGATCGCAGTTCGCAGGCATAGTACAGACGAAGTAGTTGTTTGCCGTCAGAAGCGGAAGGAGGAGGCCAGGTAAGAAAAACAAAATTAGAAGAGTTCCCAATCGATCTTGAGTATCTTGAGATTAATCCTTGACCCCTTGTTTTCCTTGTCATGTCATGGATCCTCTTTTATGTGTCATACGGACACCGTCGAGGCCTTTCAACTATTCCTCTTGAAGAAAACCCCTGTAAAAAACAAGATGTCCCTGCTCAACAAGATGATGGAGTAGCTACTTTAGGGGAACAAGACCTTAACAAAAGCAAAATCAAGTACACGTCCTTCCGCCGAAGCAGCGACTCGAGGACACCAGCACGATATTTGCTCCCCGAGTTCAGATACAGCAAAGAAAAGCCCAACAGGCCAAAGGCAGTCGTTGTAAAAAGGCCACTGAGAATGGAGGAGGACGATTGTTCGGTGGACGTAGCATTGCCTTCGCAAAGATACCCTTTAGCGTTGTTTGGGATGCTGAGCCACTCTTTGGCACCAATTTCCGGAACCGTATTAGAGCGCAAAACTACTGGCAATTGTTCATATACTTAAATTCATTTCTTCAGAGGAGCGAGCAGTCTATTTCTTCAGAATCCTAAGAAGGAAACTGAAGAAAAGGGTTTTCTTCAAAAGTCTATTGCTTCAGACCTCCAGGAAGCAGGAAACCGAAGAAAATGACCGCTGGGAACGAAAATGACGTGTAAGCGTGAGATAAGTGCCTCACAAATAAACTTGGAGATACAGGAAAAGGAAATGAATTGCCTGTATAAGGAAACCGAAGAAAATGAAAAAGGCCGTTGGAAAAGAAAATGAATTTTCCCTATAATCAAATAAATCATGGAGTCTTAACTGTAGAAGCCAATTGCAAGAAACCCACAGGGAGCAAAAAGCCGAGCATCAGCAGCGGAGTAATCACTCCTAGGAGCCACACGCGGATAGGAGCCAGAGGCGACAAATTCGGCACATCCGGAAAGAGCTCTCTCTGATTCATCTCACGTTGCTGCTGTTCCTTTTGAAGACGTCGTTTCTCGAGAGCTGTCTCTTCTTTGGCTCTGCGAATCTCCCGTGGATTGCATTCAAGATCGTCCTCGTCGTCAACTAGGAGAGGCACCATTTCCGATCTTCCAAGAACCTCCTTTCCGATCTTGAAGCCACGGGCGGCACTCGTGCTCGTCAAAGTCATTGATGTAGTTCTTTCAACAAAACTACCATTCATGTTCATCTCTATTTTAGTACTCGTTTGATCATTTGATGGCGGTCTCCCATTCGACAGCAAATAGACCGCTAATGGAACGGCAATCAAATCCAAGGATGTCCCCATGGCAGAATTCAACCAGGAATAGTTTACTCGTAGCACGTCTCTCGTGACGTTGAACGCGATTCCGTAGAGCAGCGTCCATTGATAGATGGCAAGAGCATTTTCAGCCGCAACTCGACCTTCCTTCGCAACCTCCACACAGGCACGAATACTACCGCTTGTGGCTGCATATGGAGCGAGGAACGTGATAACGCTGTCTTCGTCTGGATCTTGCTCTCGAGAGTGTTCACCTTGTTGACCTTCTTCTTGTTTGCCTTGATCTATATTTTTCTTACTCTTCTTCGTGTCGTGGTCCTTGCTAGAACCACCACCCGAGTGATTCATCAATGCGACCCCCATGTCTGAAGCCCGCAGCGCAGCCGCATCATTTCCGCCATCGCCACACATCCCCACTTTAACCTTGATGTCACCCTGAAGATGTTGCCAATACTGAATGACATCGCTCTTTCCACCTGGGGTCATCGAGCCGAAGGCGACTACTGACGACAGCATCTTTGACAACGATGGAAGTTCAGATACTGATAGGAGGAAAGAAGTACTCGATCCACCGGGACCCCCATTTGGTCCATGATGTGTGGGCGTCGTACCCACAACGAGGGAAATTCCAGAACTATCTGTAGAAGTAGCCAAAGACGACGGAGTAGAAACAACGCTTGAGCGAGTGGAGGAGCTTCCGTTAGTGGAAGTCTTATCCGATGATGCGCCGTGTTCATCAGCTGCTTCATCAGTCTTATCCGATGATGCGCCGTGTTCATCAGCTGCTTTATCCGCATTGGTTCGTGCAGGGATACCGCTAACAACAACACGAAGACCCTCCTCTGTTGAACTTGTTGCTGTAGAAGTATTCGTATTCCCACCAGCACCATTTCTAGGCTCAGCATTTTCACCAGCTTTAGACGGAGTATCCGAATCGTGTTCGTGCGCAGCCAGTGTGTAAAACGCGTCTTGCGTCAGGAGGTATCGCGCACTCGGACCCGGATTCCTCCATGAGGACGACGCGTGACACGACTGAGTCTTAATCGCCTGCAACCGCGTCAGTATCTCCTCCCGCGACAAGAATCTCGTAGCTTCAATAAGCTCATAGTCGTTCGTACCGGATTTTTTCACCAAAGAAAAGGGCGTCACATTGACAAAAACAGTGTCGAACGAGTCGTCTGCACCTCGACCTCCACAGGCTGCGTCTCTCGTACTAGTCGTGCTCGGTTGTTTACCTCCATCACTAGAATTTACCACATCAATTGCCAAAACATCAAGTTGATGTTGTTTATCGCAGAAGGTGTCGGCATCTTGGATCATTAGTTGGTCCACCTGGGTGCTTAGGTCTTGCTCAGACTCACCATCAAAGAAGCCACATCGTGCCGCGACACTGCCAGCAGCGTAAATGTTATCACCCGTGATAATCTGAGGCAAAATAGACGCATCCTGAAACTGTCGGATGACACCAGCAGAGTCCGACTTTACTGCATTTGCGAACAGGAACAATCCTAGAAATCGCATATCTTTTTCCACATCTGATCGGCGAAGCATCACTTCTTCTGTGGAGTCGGAGCCAGCTTTTCCTGCAGAGAACAAGTCTCCTCCAACAACCTGGCGAACAAAGGCACTGTCGACTTCACGCATGGCAACAGCCAAAGTATAAAACCCTTGACGGGCGTATTGAGCGGCTTCGCGAGAATCAACCTCAGACATCGTACCCATACTCGCTAAACGTTTGGGAGAACCCTTGCTGAGGAGGAAGAACCTGGACGTTGACGCGCTCTGCGGCTCTGCAGCTTCCTCAGCATTTGAAGGTTCATCTTGATCACCATCAACATGTTGATACCGCATCTTGATCTGCAACTTCATGGAACGGGTAAGGTTTCTCGTGCGTGGATAAATTCCTGAACATCTGATAGACTTTGACTTTTTTCCACCACCGGCACAATCACCACTGTTGTCCAAACAAACTTCTACCAAAACAGATTGTAATTGCAAATCCTGATCGAATTCCCATTGGTGCAAAGTTTTTGCGAGAACTCGTCCCGTCGTGGCATCACAAGTCTTGATCACTCCGTTCGTCCTCGCAGCACTTGTTTTCTTGTCGTCGTGCTCGTTCACAACTACAGAAACTACACCCAATTTCTCAAAAGCAATCCGAAGTAATTCGCAGTCGACTGCGTTGCCCAGGAATACGGGTTTCTTTGACGTCGACGTTGCAGGTACATCATCAAGGTCTACTAGAGAAGTGCCGTTTTGGTTTTTAATACAGCTAGTCGCAGTCTCCTCCACAACCGTAGCCGTATTACACACGCAAGCAGCTAATTGCAGCAAGAAATAATCCATGTCTTTTTTCTCCTCACTGCGATGAGCAGGAGAACCCTTGTTGCCTTTGTTCTTTGTGGAACAATCTGTATTCAACATGAGTCGTCCACTTTCTTCTTGTTGAAGGCTTTCAAGCTGCTGCAGTAGCGAGACGACTTGCTTATCATCACGAGGACGATTTTGTTCCTGAAGCTTGTAGTTGCTCCTCGTCTGGGAGTGTTGAGAGAGATTCTTCACTTGTAAAACATCTCCAGCTCCAGATGAGTTATTAACCTGATCCTGACCATGATTTCGACAACTGCCGAAATTTTCACGCCCATATATCTCCTCAATAGGGCAAACACTCTCAGCATCGGAACTCTCAGCATCGTTTTGTAGCTCATCATGATCATCGTCTTCACCAGAAAGACTCTGGTGAAGAAGAAATTTTACATGCTGTCCAGCATTTCTTCTTCCAGCATTTCTTCCAGAAGCTCGTCCACCACCACCAGCAACTGAAAATTTATGAAATTTCAAACTCTCTTCAGTGAGGGTACCGGTTTTATCGAAACACATCACTCGAATTTGACCGGCATCCATCATCTCTGCAGGGATCATAGTTCGAATCTGTTACTCACCCTCATGCAAACGACGAGCGGCTTTGCGAGAAGCGTACGTTGCGCCTGAAAGGCCGACAGGATTGCAGAGGCGGGCTAGGGTCACCTGAATCAGCACCAATCCCAAAGCGTCAAACTTGGCTCCTTTGAGAATACCTGGCAGCGTGCTCATGATAATCGCCAGAATGAGCATCACAACCATCACGATCTCCCGGCTTTTATCCATCGTGCTGCGCTGAAGTTCACTCTTCCTGTGCAGCAACATGTCACGAAGAAGCGCACCACGAAGACTATGGGCTTCGGTTCGGAGCACAAGGGCGGCGATAAGCGGCGACTCAGCATTAGACGAACTTTCGTCCTGCGTCAACTTCCCACCTCCATTCTCACCACAGTCTACAATGCTGCTCCCCGCAAAGAGTATCAAACGCTTGACCTTGGAGGAGCACTTGCCACCCGACGTGCCATGCCCAAGCATTGTGGCTACGTCTTCTTCGCTGCGGGGACTGAACTTGCGAACAGGAACGTTTTCACCGGTCAAAGAGGCTTCGTTACAGGTGACGCTTTTTGTTGTGAAGGTTGTCGTTGCAGAAGTTGTACATGCAGCAGAAGTAGCTGCTGTAGCAGGATCAGGAATTGAAGCACCTGTGGCGAGGACCATATCCATAGCTCCTGTAGAGTTAGCTCCTGTACTAGGGACCATAGCTGTAGACGAGTCTGAATCTTCCGCAGACACCAACACCAGATCAGCCGGAAGGCCCCTTCGCAAGGCTGACTTACTCAAGTAAACCACATCTCCCGGTACCAGTTGCGACGACTCTAGGACTTCTCCGTCTTTGGTTCGGAAGTCCAGAGGACCTCCACCTGCTTTGTTCGAAGAACCGCCCTTGATGTTCGAACCTCTTGTTTTGGACGTCGCAGTTCCCAGAACGGCATCTTTCAATTCTTAGAACTTGCCAAATAAATTCATCTTGAAAGTCATCTTTGGCACATTTTTTCAGACCCCTTGAAAAGACCTTGTCAAAAATACTTACACCTTTTAAGTGATGAAATTTACGGGAAGCCTTAAAATTCTCCTTGATTCTTTGCGTCATCCCAGGCAGCCCACAGGTTTAGGGTGACCAGCAGAAAAAGCCAGACTGGCAGGTACTGAACCTGCGAACTGGTCACGAAGAGACCGGACATATGGAGACTTAGCAAGACACTGCGATCCCTGAACTTGTTGCAAAAGAATTGCCAAAAATTTTGGAATTCTGCATGAAGACGGTTTTGCCCAAAGAATTGGAGTTTAGCTTCTCGCTCATCTTCTTTGCCATCTTTCTTGGAAGAACCAGCTTGGTAGTTACATAATCGGTCCACGAAATTAGCAACGACGCCACGATCGGATGAACCTTTGAGTTTCATCCCCTGCTCCGCCCTAAGGTCGTCCATCATCGCTTCCTGAGGTCGCACGAATTTCCCATGTCGAGGCATAAAGCGGAAAAACGAGCACAAAGATACCACTTCACGGCAACCAGTCGCTTTTTGCGTCTTCACTTCGACGATTTCCAAGGCGGATGCTGCAGAGCAGGATGTAGTCTTCTTAGAAGTCTTCTTAGTTTTATTATCCCCAAGAACATTGCTTTTCCCCTTGCAAAAAAACGGCTGCGGAAACAAAGCCTTCTGCAAACGACGTGCGAGGCGTAATTCTTGTTTACGAAGAGGATCTTCTAGTGCATCAGCTTCAGCATCAACTTCTTTTCGTGCATCACCGTCAATCTCCTCATCTGCCTCGTCCTCCTCTTCCGGCGCCAAAGCGACTTCAAAGGTGATCACATGGGAGCAGTTGCCCAAGTGTGTCTCCGCGTCACGTCGTAAACACAACTCGCGTTTTAGATACTTGCCCAAGGTGCTCGAATAGAAAAGCGCAGCAGCCCAGCCTCCACAATGGACCATGAAACAGACGAAAAACCAGTGAGCCGGAAAGCCAAACCCAAATCCTTCTCGACAGGCTTCTCTGGGAAAGAAGAGTGTGCCAAAGTCCTTGTCGTATATGTCTTGATCTAAGGCCAGTACCGACTGAGGGCAAATGTTCAGACCCAAAAACTGAGTCGTATAGAACAGATAGAACTTGAATTAGCGCTTACACTAATCCATCTCGATGTCTTTTCTACTTACGACCGCTTTCCACTTGAAAACGTCTGCAAGAAGATGCTTCCGAGGATGGATTGGAGGCAGCCAACAAGCCATAATTGAAATTCCAGTTGAGCGGTTTGGACACATCAGGCATGAAAAACGCAAATGGGCCGTTTGCTAGACCGCCTTCTCCTTCGTTGAGCCACAAACCGGAGGCCAGACTCGTAAAGAGCACGGACAAGGAGGAATTAGAGCACGGATAAGGAGGAATTGCATCCACCTTCCTGTCTGTCTCTTACAACTAGGTAGAAGAGGATGACGAGCAGGCAACTAATTACCTCCTGTTCTTGAGAAAATCATCATCTTCATGCTCAAAAAGTTGCAGCATACGTCGACTTCGAGATCGAGTTGGAATGACTGAGGGCAATACTTATTGAGACAGAATGTCAACAAACTGAGAATGTCCATGTAGAAACTCGCCTTCTCTAGTGCCTTCTTTTGGAAGCCTTAATCAAATGCAGCACGAACAGCGTGATCAGACAGTAGAGCGCGCATCCCAAGAAGCTTCGACGATACGCAACGTGAGCATACACTTTCTGTTGAAATTTCTTCGAAATTTTTTCCTGATTCAGTTTCATCCTGATTTCATGATTCAAGACCACCACCTCTTTGTCCTTCTTGGCCGCTGCCACGACTGCGTGTGCGTGTTTAGTACCATTTCCATGTTGGCATGATCCATCTAAGAGATAAGCTCCTGCAACACTAAAACAGGGTTTTCCAGGAGCCTTCTCAGAAGGCGTCGCAGATTCGTCTTTCTGCTCCTTTCCGACTTTGTCCTCGTTGCTATTAACCTTTTCATTTAGAGCTCACCCTAAGTAATCCTTCTCGAAGTCCATCCTGTTGAGACCGTTATCCCCTTGCAAACGTTTCTGAGAGAGATGCTTCCGAAGATGGATCATGATAAGGGTGAGCCATAACTTTTGATGATTCGAAAGACACTTGAGATTTGCTTCTTGCCACTTCTTCAACCCCAGAAAGAGGATGACCGCCAAGGTCAACACGACTGAACCGCAGGTATGGATGAGAAAAAAGGGGGACTCTAGGGTCATATTACCCCAAAACTTTGGCGAACCACTGCCCATTTTGTCGATGTCGTGCTCCCTGCTCGTTGGCAGCTAGTAGAGCTGAGCTAGTAGAGCTTTATTAAGTAGTTGCTGGCTGTTGCCTTGGAGATTGGGATTACTTAGACAAGTAAGTTGCTGCAGATTTTTTTGCAAGAATAAATGCAGCTAGAAGACGGAAGCAATTTAATGCAAGAAACGCGTACTCAACTAGTTGTTACCAGAAGGTAAAAGTATCTTAGAAGAGTGCTAACGGATTAAGTATTTGATATTCTTACCCTGCTCGTTGGAATTATAGGCGTTGCCGCGTTGGATTTATTCACGAAGGAAGCTACTTCGAAAGAAGGATGAGCAGTAATGATATCAAACTCTAGTCAGGACCGGGACTGCTTCTTCTTCCGCTGCTGCTGGGACGGCTTCTATCGATCATAAGAAAGGCCGAATTATGATACTACGCTTCTCAAAGATGAAATTCAGTTACACTTACATCCATCAGGAGGCAATATTTCTTTATTGCTCATCGCAAATCAGTATTGAATACAACAACCAAAGACGCAAACGCACGCTGCACCGGGGGTATCTATAGTAATGAACGCTACAACACTAGCTTCTGCTGCCGAAGAGAAGTGAGTGATCTGTTGATTTATCCAATCTTTCGCTGCCCTGCTTTCCGACCACATGAAATTCCATCCAATTCAATTCAATGATTTTTTTTTTTGTAGTACGAGCGAGTTCCGATAAATCAAAACCTACCTGCGTATTTTCCGCGTAAGATGCTTTTTGGAAAATCAACACTGGTCCACGTGTCTGCACGTCTCGAGGTCCTACACGTAACGAGGTCTTCACATCTCAATCCATCAACAATCAAAGAGAAACGAAGGTTAGAATGATGTTGTTGAGGAACTAGAAGATGTCCAGCACACCACGACAGAAACGTGATGATGATGAAGGAAACTAGAAGTGCGCACCCCTACCATCGAAGACTCATACCGCCAGAAGAAAAAGATATATTTTGAAACATCAAGTAACGTCTTCTATTCAGCTAATTCAGGCGTTTCAACTATTCTGTACCTTCTTTTTGAAGTGACCACTTCTACCACTCAGAATCTTCAACATATTTTCCTTTTAGTTTGTTTACCACTTCTAAATTTTCATCGAGACTAATATCGAAATGGACGAAGCAAAGTGAACTCCATATACGATCTTTGAGATCTACAGGTCGTACCTAAACCCTATTAGTTCTAAGAAAACAATCCCTCATCTGTTTCAAACGGTTGATGAAAACAGCGTGGATGAACCCTATGTCAAACGGTTGATGTCATAGGCGATATCCCTCACTATACATTACGTATGACTATGGTGTTAATAAAAGAATCACTATAAGTACTCCTATAATTCGTACTCGGGACTGTAAAAAGATTATGAATGTAGTTGAGGATAACTACAGCAACTGACCCTATTTGTAGTACAAGTAGAGACTTGAAATCTATACTGAATTGTTAGCTCCGGCACAAAGACAAACCAGACACAAGAAGCCATAACAAGATGTTGATGCGTTTCATCAAAAATGAGGTTAAATCTATTATTTTCTTGTTGAGTCCTACTACAACCACGCGATCACACTAGGAATACTGTGTGCGTGTAGTAGTCTAAGTAGGTACAGCGTGATGCCTGATCAGTCGCATACACATCAGGCACTGGAGCGACTCAGGTAGCCACTCAGCCACTGTCCATCTGATCAGTCGCATACACAGAGCCACTGTCCATCTGATCAGTCGCATAGTACACAGAGCCACTGTCCATCACATCAGGTGGTACTGAAGCGACTCAGGCACTACTACTACCACGCGATCCTCGACACCCCTAATACCGAATCGAATTGTAAAGTCGTCATCTTAATTTCATATTTAAATCTTTCACGAGTATCTTTCTATTAAAAGCAGAAGGTCGAAACAGGAGCGAGGAAGAAAAGCTCAAGAGTGCATTTATCTAATCAGATTCTTAATAGCACAGTCTGCGTTCATGTAGTCTATGATGATGATTTTATGAGATTCTGTGTTTACCTGAAGGTAATAGTTAGAGTTTCATTTTCCCGACTATGATTATGTTACTTCTTCTAGACCTACTTTTATGTTTGTCAGTATTATGTCTCTTTGTTGAGTCTGAGTCTGTGTCTGTGTTATATAAGTTAGCCGTCATATTGACTGTGTTGCTCATCCACCTAGACTTAAAAATCGTAAGGTTAAGTATTCAATTTCTTTGCTCATCGTCTTCACCGTCTAGATTAAAAATCTTTCTCTATGATCCTGCATTAGTATAATCTGCAATTATCTGCTTGCGCTGTTATAGTACGCATACCAGCATCTGCGCTGTTATACGCGGCATACCATCCCATGATCTCCTTCAACAGCCGCGTATCATCATCATGGCCTACTATTCACCATCCGCCCACCTTCTTCATGATCCGCGTATCATCATCATGGCCTACTATTCCTCTGTTGTCCAGCAAGAAACGGACAGAGAGAAATGTCGCCTGCCTTGCCGGTCCTTTCACATTTGTCTTGTCTTCGAGTGTGCGGCACCGCGCGCATATGCGCAAATTCAGCTTCTCTGCGACGATTCACGAGAAGTAGCTTGTTAGAAGCTGAATAACTGTTTTGATCTACTTGAGGTAACTTAGTAGACTTTAGCAGACTCAGGAAAGTTAAGCTGAATAATTCAAAGTCGGAGTGAGAGTGTTGATGTCGGGTAAGTGCTAGACCTCACATCATTGAAGATCTACTTTCTTATACACGACATTGTAGAACTTCTCACATTGAAGATATTATAGAGTGAAGAAGATGTGCATAGTCGTGAGTCCGCTTACTATTTTACCGATAAGAAGCCAGCCTGGTGAAGTAAAACTGATCTATCAACAACGTGTTTAAAAAGCATAAATTCATTGCTATCCACAGCATCGTTAGCTTTGGTCGTGAACAAACGTCCTGCTACTGTACTCATCGCACCGGTGAATCCGTGGTACAAATGATGTCCAAGAAACTTCCCTCCAGGAGTTGTTGAACTTGGACTGTCATTTTTCACGCTAGAGGCTCCGTCCTCATTGTTCACCACGTTGCTGTGAGTCTGTTGAGTTTTATCTTCTCCTTCTTTGGCTTTCTCTTCATCGACCACATCTCCTCGCTGCTGAAAAACTCGTCTTGCTGCACCAAACTGCTGCAATTTCAAATCAGTGTTGGCATTGATGATGGCCAATCCCTGGTCGCTAAATCCTTTTGTCATGTCCTGCAGGCGTTGCGACAGTTTCCTCACCTCGGAGGCTAGCAATTTGCCAACTAGTCGTTCGTAGCCATCTAGTTGCAGTCTAGCACTAGAACTAGTAGCAGACGTTGACCTACGCTGTGTCGAGGTCGAGCGAAAAAAAGACAAGAAGCCAATAGCTGCATCAAATTCCGAAGTAGAATCCGCTTGAGCTTGACTTTGGTCTCCCTCTCTGAGGATATTCATCAACTTCGACAGAAATCTCTCCGACTCTTTGTCCGACGAAACGTCAAAACCCAGGCCCAGACCAGTCCTACTACCGTTTACCCAGAAATGAAAATCGTGCCGATGTTCGTCATACTGCTGCACCCATCTCTTTCTCTGCGCCAATACCTCATAAAGCGCCTGCTTCACTTCGCGGACCAAGGTCGTTGTTGCGTCCAACTCATTGTGAAACAATTCCTGAGCGCAAGGGTTTTCTTTCCCCATTTCATAGTTCAACCAGAGGATCGTTTCTCCGTATTTCTCTACCACGGCTGTGAGATGCTTCTTCTGCTTTTGGAGGAGGACGTCGACATCATCGTGAGATTGTTGTTCAACAAGAATGTCAGCCACTTGATCCGGTACGACTGAGGTTAGAAACTTGACCACTTGATCACTTTGTCCTGACCACAACACTTTTCGACGCTGACGTTGAAACGCTACCTGATTTTCCCACTTTGTCAAGGCAAGCAAAGCTTTTGCATACTTCTCATACTTGTCCACTGTGTCGAGCAAATGCTCTTTGTATTTCTGTCCGGCTTCGGTGTCACGCGGAGGCTGACTAGAATTAAAGCGCAGCATTCAATGGTCACTGATGCTGAACGGAAGAGACCCCCTTCTTTCCCTTCGTTTCCCCCTGTTGTCTCAAGGGGTCGCCTCTTCGATCTCAGTGACCAACCCCAATGACCATTGAAAGCTGAGCCTTAATAGAAGAAGATAGTTGCTGCTCCGTAGATTCGCCCAAAATAATCGACTTCTCCGATCTACTATCTAGTTCACCAATTGCAAGAGGGGCAAGCGTCCCAGCGACGAAGGGGTCTAGCATAGCATGCTTCTCCCACAAAAGCATTTCACCGGGGGAAGAGAGACAAGCTGCGACAGCCTGATGTTGTCGTGGGGAGTCTAATTTTACTAAGTAGTTGTGCGGAGATTTGGAATTCTTGTTGAATTGTGTTTGTGATTCAGTTCGTTGTGTCGAGAATAACTTGAAATTGTTGAATTGTGTTTGTGATCAGGATGAAAAATAGGTGGATAATGGTCATGTGATGTAGAACTAGAAGTAGATGTCTGTGTTTAGCGGATTCCAAGGTTGATGAAAATGAGATGAAAAGCAAGGTGTCCTCCTACACCTTGGGACTCGTCCTACGCCGAGTACTCAATAAACTAACCAAGTTGTACTATGCTAATTACTTGTAGTACCTGAGCATGATGCTGCTGAAACGGTCCCGCACAGTGTGCAAAGAGGATTTGCTGAGTGCAATCCACTCCCGCACATTCCTGAAAATAGGTCACGCCCCCTGGATGATTTGGCAAGTAGTCCGTCACATCATACACCTTCTTTTGTCCCGCATGCTCCACGATGATGTGAATATCGGATCGTTCCACTGCGTTGGTCCCAGTGCCGGACGTCGTGAGTACGATGTTGTTGTGCATAGCAACTTCCCAGTCTCGGATGCCAATAGGACGACTTGGACGCTGGTGACTAGATGAATGCGGAGTCACGACGTCCCCAGTAACCGTCCAAGCAGAAGTATTTTCACTTGTCAGATGACCTCCGTGAGTCTGCACTGAGATGAATCTGCGTGCCCGCATGTCTTGCACGAACACAGGAAAGTCAAACGGCATCCTGTTTCCAGCCTTCGGCCAATCTGACACTGACGGATCTGTTGAAAAAGCACTGCTAAGTGCTTCCTTCAATGGCAGCAAGGGTCTAGGAGTATCTTGTTCGAGCAATTTAGTCAGAGTATGCTCAGCATTGGGGGAACCAAAAGCATGGAACCTCAAAGCACCACAGGGCAGCGATAAAGACTTCTTTTTCTTTTTCGAGGGAGCGGACGTTGACGTCGTAGTTGAAACTTCTGCAGCTCCTGGCCTGGAACTACTTCCGCCAAAACGAGTACTTCCGCCAAAACGAGAGAAAACTGAGGATCCCAACCTCTGAATCAGTCCAACTTCACTGCACTTCCCTTCAACGTGATCATCATCTTCAAAAATATACGTCGACCCAAGTGAGCAGTCCCTTTCCTCCTTTGCTACTTGCGCAAGCCTTCGTCGTAGAACTTTGCGCAGTCCATTTTCGAGAACGTGTTCCCACTCCTCACTAGTATTAAAGTTGTAGACACGGTTGTCCTGTAGCTGCTCACGACCATGATCATCCAACATCATCTCGCCTTGTACCAGTTGTAAAGAGCCATTTTTATTCGCATCCGCGCGATAGTACTCACGAGGAAACTCGACCAGTAGAGGACGCAAGAGGTCGGACAGGTTAGTAGCACGTCGAACCAGAAAATGAGCAAGATTCTTGCCGTTCACCCACACTTGCAACGTACGCAGACGGCCTCCTTCTCCCTGACCTTGAACCCTTGTTCCCATCCTGGTGGACGACGTGGATTCCGAATCAATGCTGTTACTCAGAATGAAGATATGAAATTTCCTCTTCAACAGCTCCAACTCTGCCTCCCCGAGGGATGTGCTCGCGTCACGATGAGCAAGGAAAAGAAATTCGAGTTTCTTTTTATCCGTGTAGTTTTGTTCTTTGGCCATGGCAAGGATAGGCGAGACTCCACTACCAGTCGCAACTGCGTACACATGCTCTGTGATATGGCGGCTAGAAGGAAGAAGATTCTGCACTTGCTCCTCAGGTGGTCCAATGAGATAAACGACCTCTGGCAATGCCGTGGCATCAGGAACGGATACGTCGATGCTGCTGACGGCTTTGACATACAACTTCTCCTGGCCTTCGCTTCGAGAAGACTCGCTGTAGAAACCCTGCAACAGGGTCTGCACTAGCGGCGCACGCGAAGAAGTAGAGGCACTAGAAGAACCAGGACGAGCCAAATTTTCGTCAAACGGTAATCGAAGAGTTGGCTTCCCTTTCAGGTCTGGCCTGCTTAGTCCATCATTACCACCAGCAAAGGAAAATAGCCTTTCCCTCTGCGGTGCAAGACGTAACAGCAAGTCGGTTTCATCTTTCGGCTCATCCTGTTGGCATTTCTGCGTGGCATCTGTCAAGTCCGCGAACTGCAACAAATCCTCTGCGGAAATCAGCTCACTTTCCTCTTCTAGACTCCTATTCATCTGCGCCATCAACTCTGGCCGTTTTTCGTCTTTCTCCTGCTTGTACGAAGGAATCAAATGGCCAACTGTAGAGTAATATGAGGTCACGACACGAGGAGAGTCTTCATAGGAGCTTTTGTTCACGTTGAATCGCATGAAGGTGCGCCAATTGTCGTGCCAGCGTTTCAGAGGACTCGAGTGCCAAGAAGTACTAGCGTTTGCCTTGGCCGGTGCCCACACGTAGTCTTTTAAAAAATATTGAGTCAAAATATCAGCCGAGCTCACTCTGCAATGGTGCAAGAACTTGTCTTGGACACTCTTCGTATTCGTGGCTAGAATACCAAATTGATCCCCTGGTAAGAAGTCGGTGAAAGTTCTCAAACTACGAGACGTGTCGTCGGATGTAGAAGAAGTAGTTGCTCCACGACCTGTTCCTGTACTAGATGAATTTGAATTTGTGACTAAGACTGTGTCTTCGTCAACAGCGTAGTCCAGCGTCACCTCCAGCATGTCTTTTCCTTTTCTCTCCAACGCAGCGACTTGGATTGGCATGTATTCGCCGTCCACTGCACTAGTCAATAGTCGACTACGACGAATCTCCTCGAAATCTTGACGCAATCCGTGTCCGGCAATCCAGAAGGTGTCAGGAGAACTGGCTGAGTCTGTGATACCAACAGCGACGCCGACAGAGAAGTTAGAAGACCTTTTTCAACAGGAGGTGGAGCAGACTCATACTGAATATTAACACACATACAACATAGGAGAAGCAGTATCTTACCTACTTTGACCTCTTTCCCCCTTGAAAACAACTTAAACTTCTCTCTACATAAATTTGAAAATAAGTCAAACTCAAAAATAGCTCTACAGAAGTCGATGATGAGTCAATTTGTGAAGGCCTTAAAGGAACGTCTCCCATGCGCAGTGGCCCACGAATAATGACTCCCTGAGTGCTCATTCAGCAAAGCATTCCAAGCTTGTCTGACGGCAGGAACGTACGAAAGATTTGTTTTCACATTCAAATTTTGCTCCGTAGCATATATGGTAGAGAATAAAGGAGGGCGTCGAGGGCTTCTAGGACTAGAAGAAGACATACTCGACGGACGAGAGCCGGTCGTGTCGCCAAGAGACGGACGATGGATAAGCAAGTCATCTGCTCTACCAGATTCATCCTCCTCGGACATCAAGGCGCGGATAACAAAACCAGTGCGAGAGTTAGTCTCAAAGATACCCGCAACTTCGGAATCCTCCCCGTCTTGAAGTTGGATCTCCATTCGCTCGCCCCGAGTTTGCCCGCTGGCCGCTTCGCCAGCCTCTTCGCCGCTGCCTTCCTCGGAGAGGTCCTGAGCAGAGCCGAGAGGTGAGCCAGATGGAAATGGTTGTAACGGATCGCGCTGTAAGTGCAAACGTTCATCAGGCTGATCCTGATTTTCACCATGGCCAACAATTCTGGTCAACAATTCGACATTTCCTGATGCTGAAACAAGCTCAACTTCAAGAACGTCCTCCAAGCTTCTGTCTTGATCCCCTTCCTGGCCTGGTGCCAAACTATCATTTTTACCTTCGTCGACGACGCTTTGTTCCTGATCATTGTTGAGTACAACAGCGTCTTCGTGGTCCAGAGTTGTACGAGGAATCGCAACTCTAGCTTCGTCCAGCATCTCCGCAAAGATAGACCATCCCAAATGCCCATGACGACTGGCGTAGTCTTTTTCCATCTGATGCGTTTTGTTGTCGTTTTCAAACTGAGTACGGCCTAAAAATGCATCAAACAGGACGAAAATCGGGCCATCGACGCCCGCAGTGCCAGTCTCCCCCTGAAACGAAGGCATAGCGATCGTGATGAACGACTCGTACCAACTTTTGGGGTGCCAAGAAATAGAGCTCACGGCTGGATTGTTGCCTTGCTGAAAGGCTTTCGTGATCCGTCTTTGGACGTTTTTCAGGTTTCTCACGGCATCGGCAAACAAGAGGTTATCCTTCTTCTCAATAGCGGTCATGGCCCTAGCCATCTGCTTCAGGGCAGGCGCGAAAGCAAGACTTAGAGCAGGTAGAACTTTATGATCTTCTAGGGACGACAAGTTTATATATCACTAGCGATAGTTTCGTTTTCAATCAGATCACCACGAAGGATAGAGCTGTAGAAAAGCTACGCTGATACGTGATGTCGATTGTAGAAAAGCTACGCTGATAGAGTTGTAGAACTAGAAGCTCATCATGTCACATTCACAAGCGAGACCTGCTTCTACTT